GGTTTTCCTTGCAGGGTTACGTAGGGTACCTAAAATCTTTTATGAAGGAAGCAAAGGTGAAAGGTGTTACAGATATACATATTTTTTTCTGCCCTGTTAGATTTTGAGTTTCTTGATTTTTTTTTTGAAGAATTTCAATAAATTAGAGTCTATTTTACTCATCCTTTTATCTAGGCCCTAGAAAAATGCCCAGGCCATAATAGGTGCTTAATAAAGTTTTGCCTAACAAAATTGCTAAAAGTAGACTCACAATTCCCTAGGTGGGCAAAGTTGAGTTCATACACTTTCACTTTGTTTTTTTATAAGAAGGCCAAGGAAAGGTAGAGTGTTGTAGTGAAAAGAACTCAAACTCTGCCTGTTACCAATGGTACAAACTTGAATGAATTAGGTAGCTCAGCTGATCCTCTTCTTTTTACTTTAATCAAAAAATGGAGATAGGGATACCTTACTAGATTGCTATGAAGATTGATAACCCCCGTAAATCTCTCAACACATTTTCTGGCTCATAATAGCAATCAGCACGTGTTAGGCCCCCACTTCTCTTCCTCTCATTTCATTAGAAATAACACTTGGAAAAGGATAAGTGGATGACTCTATGACCGTAAGTGAGTCAATTAATAGTGGTGTCATCTGTAGAATAAATGTGACTATTGACCTCATTCAGAAGGATATGAAAATTAATTGATGGTAATGCACATTGGGAATTTTTGCTGAAAAGTGCATAAGAATGGCTCAGTATTATTACATTTTATTTCATCATTAATATTATTTATGAATATTTGGCCGTGTCTTGTCCTGGTGCATTTTATGTCTGTGGTCTTAATTGCATTTATTTCATTTTAATACCAACTTGTATCTTCATAAAAATGTAGATGAAGTTCAAAAACATAGTTTCCATCTTTTACACAAATCTATTTTTACAAGTTAGATGGTTTTACCTGTTTCAATATGCTACCCAGGAAACAGGCATCAAGATAGATAGAAATAATTTTTATTAATTTTATTCAGATCAAGCTTAAGCACTTTCTAAGGTATTTAACTTTTATAGCCTGCTTTTCTCACTCATATTTTATGTTTATTTGCTATTTTTTAACGAAATTCTTCATTATGAGATGTTTGGCCCATTTCAGACGATAAACGTGAATGTTTGAAACATTTCTACTGGAAAAGATAATTAACTAAATGAAACACCTGTTACTATTTTAATCTCAGGAAACGCTCACTGCCTTCAGTCTCAAATGGGCCTGTGCTACAGAGTCTGAGGGTGGCTCTTCTGAAGGTCAGGACACCTGAGTCCTAGTTGGGCCACCTCCTAGCTGTATGGCCCTGAGGAAGTCACTGTCCTGCCCCAAGTCTCGCCGGTCAGCTGGTCAGCTGTTAAACAGGAGGGAGTCAGCCTCACAGAACTTTAAATTCTCTTCCCATCACAGCACCCAGCCCTCTGAGAGAGAACCACGTAGGCAACTGGCCCTACATTTAGGTCTGTAGAGAAGAAGAGAGATTGCTCCTAATACAGAATATTATCTTCTGAATCCATGTTACATTTTACCTTCCTGTTCAAAACTTTAAAATATCTTTCTTTTGAAAGGCAGATCACTTAGTAGCTGGCATGTATGAGAAACTCAAGAAGTGTCTCAATTCAAGGTCTGTGTGCTGAGTAGGACATGTCGACTGGGTCAAGGTTTCCTATGAAACCTCATTTCTGGGGAAACGGGAAGGATACATTTCTTACTTCAACTCTGAGTAGACAGGAATTTAATTATTTATTTATTTATTTTTAGGTTCAGTGGTAATGGTTATAGACACAGATTAATACTTTATCTATAGCCTGTGTGTGTGTGTATAAAATTTACTTCTGGGTGATATCAATACCAGGAATTCAATTTCGACCATCTGAAACTGCCGGTATCTCTGTAAACTACAGAAGCTACTTTATGACAAAATGCGTTTTTCAGCGGCTGTAATGTAATGCTAATACAGAACCGGAAATCTACTCAGCTCTGGTCCACATGAAGCAAAAGACAAAGGGCACCAAATTTCCACTTTGGAAAATTTCATTAATGACAAAGATGGCTAGACAGTTCACAGCTGCTCATCTTGATTGTTATTGCTAGTTATCAGTTTCTCCCTGGTTTTATAAAATAAATTTATTTGCACAATAATCTAATCACACACTTTATTTTGACTATATTGATGTACATAGATCAGTCTGCAGACCACATGTGTTTGGCGGTATATTTCCTACACCACGTATACCTCTTATTGATGCCCCCTTTTCTTTTGGCAAGGTGAAAAATGAAACTTTATCGATAAAGCTTTTTTTAAATCAATTTTTCCCTTCAAATCTAGGAACCCATTTATGCTGGAGTTTGGGCATTTATTTATTTTTTATTAGTTATTCGTATTGGGTTTGATGTGATTTTAATCAGGTCTCTAAGATTCAGAAGAGAATTGACTGACTTCAGGGAAAGAAAGTGTGTAAAGAATCGACATGCTTACCTGGTGGTTTATTTGTTATAGAGTCCTTAGATTCACTTCACTCAGGATATTTTGTATAAATGAATCCAAACACATAGGGCTCTGTAAGGCAGTGATATTCAAAACGCTAGTCAACAATGAGATAAGGAGCTTGTCCAGAATCAGAGCACTGCTTCCTGTATTAAGAAAGTCTTGGCCCTAGAAAAAGTCACCTTAATGCCATGCATTCAGCCAAAAACTCCCACAGAGCCTCACCTCTGAACTGCAGAAGAAATGGCGGCCTAGTGTTTCTACAGATTAGGCAAGTGACTGAACCATTCTCTGTGCCCTGCACACTGAGAATGATAACACTGGTGGGGTGGAGAAGGAATGTGTCAACCAGGAGCTCAGTGTGTGAGAGGAGGAACCAAGATGTCAGCAGTGAGGGGCAGAGGTGGTATAGGCTTCTGGCGCCCTAAGATAGATGCTTTAGGATAGCTAGATGCTTTAGAAAATTTTGTCTTTAGCCATAGTTCTATAAACTTCTTTCCAGCAGGAGAGAGAGAGAGAGAGTAATGGCCAGAAATCACACACAAGGACCTGAAGTACCTGCAGATAAGGGGTAGGGATGGCTGGCATTTGAGAAAGCTGTAGGGGAAAGGCATAGATGTCCTCAGGGCATAGCCAAGGTTTCAGTTGAATCAAGGAGGTAGAGGGAAATTTAAGGAGAGCTCACGGATGATAGGTAGCCATCCCAGAAGGCTCCAAGAAAGGTCGGTGAGCAAGGTGAAGGGATGAGCATTGACTCAGCCTGGGACATTTATGAGCAAAGCTGGGATGAGAGGTTGATTAAGAAGTGATCCCCTGAGAGGGTACCAAGGACTTCCATGGTTATTTCGGGAAACAGGAAGGAGGCAGGTGGGGATGAGTACTGATGCTCTTCGGAGGAGAATGAGAAGAAATACTTAGCTCGGGTTAGTCGTTCTCCCTGCTGCTGACATCTCAGAGAATTCTGCATTGCTTTCATACTCAATAGGATTGTCCACTGACTGAGATAATATGATTATACAGTGTTTGCCTGCTGTGTATTATGATTCAGCACATTTTTCAACAAATATTTTACAGCACCAACCGTATGCAAAGCACTGTGACACACTGTCAGGAATGCAGATACAAACACAAATGGTTACCTGTGCCCCTGGGCTATAGGTTTTACAAAAGAGATTAACTCGCCTTCAGGAGAATACATTGGCAAAAGGCCACCATCCATGTAATCTATTATTTTCCAAGACAACAAAGGAAATTAATACAAACTAGCCATTTCTTAAAGAAAAGAGGCATTTACTGCTTTCAAGGTCAACATGGGAAAACTGGTCTCATCAATTTTAGTTTTGGAGATGATGAAATTTGGCCTTTTGCCATAGCTCTATAAACTTATTTCCTACCAACTTTTTCTCCTCCTTTGAAAATGTTTTTAAAAAAAGAAAATGTAAATTAAATGGGATAGAAAAGTTAAATACTTGCCTTGATCTGGTTAGAGTGTAAAGTAAATCAAGTGGCTATTTAATTCCCAGTGAACATGTGACAACCATGGACTTAAATATTAGATTTAAATAGGGCAGCTAATTCTCTGCAAGAATTACATTTATCTCTTTATATGGGCACTCTACCTAATGAACACATTTCTCTCCTCTTCAATCCGGGAGTTGCTACCAGAGCATGAGATATTAATATACATTCCTAGACTCATTAATATTGTTGCTCATAAAAGACCTTTTGATTTTTATCACCCTGAGTTCCCAGAGGCCTGTGGAAACCATCATTGCTTCAAACCACATGAGTTACCAGGGGAAAAATCCTATTAAAGTAAAACCTTAATCACCACTTGCATTTTATATCAAGTTATATCTAAAAAGAAACTGTATAGCATCTTCATCAACATAGAATGGATAAACAAATGGCAGTACAGTCCTCCCACAGAATATTATAAAGCAGTAAAAGCAATGAAATCACTACTACACACACTGTAACTCAATAAAATTTAATCTGAAAGACATTGTTGAATGAATGATGCAAGATATGGAAGAATACATATAGTATGATTCCATTTATGTAGGTTCAAAACCAGGCAAAGCCAAACAATATCTTGTTAAGGATATATCATTAGTAGCCAACCTAGGAAGGAAATGATTGACGCAAATTCCTTTCCCCACTAGACATGTGACTGACAAATAGATGCAAAGCATCTGGCTTGTAAGAAAGAGGCCTGCCATTAAGGCGCATTTTTTTTCGCATTTCTCCCCTTTCCTAGTCAGTAGAGTCCATTAATGACCTTCTGCAGCCAACAGGCAAGTCCCTAGTTCACTTCTATCAACGACAATAAATGAGCTCTGGAGAGCAAGCCAACTGTGAGGGTGGACATTGGGCTTCTCCTCTGCTTTGCTTTGTGCAGAGAAGAGCCCGGACATGAGCCCTGAGACTCCCCACCCTCTGCCTCCCCTCTGTGTGCTTTGATTCTAATTTCCATTCTCTTTGTTTCACAGTTGTTCAGCACATCAAGCGGCATAACATTGTTCTGAAAAGGGAGCTAGGCGAAGGGGCCTTTGGAAAAGTGTTCCTAGCTGAATGCTATAACCTCTGTCCTGAGCATGACAAGATCTTGGTGGCTGTGAAGGTAAGAGAACACTCCAGAATGTCTCGTTATCCACGGTCTCAGTAATGTGTTGAAAGTGTTACTTTTTTATTTTAGTGGCCAATTCAGGAGCATGTCGGTTATGAAGGATGTATTCAAACTCTTTTAACTAAGTGGACAGTGGGAAGGATATTTGGGGCATTTCCAAGTGTCCCTAGGTTCTTTCTAGGGGCACCTAAAAAGGCTGTAACTAGCTCTGAGTGACTCTTTCAAGTCAATTTTAACTAAATTTCAGACAGAAACCAACCAGCTAAGGCTTGAAGACTCAGCCTGTCTCCCCTGACTGCTTGGTGCTTGTGTCCAGCTCAGCTACACCTGTTCTCACGTTGAGGTTCCGAAAGGGAAACTATGAATTCACTCCCTCTCTCAGCCTCTGTTCCACTGACATCTTCTGTTACACCTTGTCCCTCCCAAATGTCTCCAAGGCCCCAGGATTGTATGTAGTATATGTGTCATTTTATTCTGGGATGAGTGGCATTTCTTGTGGATTCTGCCACCTTAGCAGATACAAGGTTTTATTAAAACAAAGAAGCCCTAAAGTCCTTTATCATAGCCATTTTCTCAGAAACTCAGAAAGGAGACCTGGTCTTCAATACGATAAACATTACTGAAGGGATAAAATTTACGCTGAGCTCTCTAAAACACAAGAAGTAATAAAAATAACACAAAAGACTCTGTAAATCTTTTACATATGCATTGTCAAAACAAAAAAACAACAACACCATGGTATTGAATAACATTTGTAAAACATTTAAAAGAGGCATCTATTTATAAAATCAATTAAGTGGCAAATAAACATGGACATGGCTAATGTACTAAAATGCAATTCTTTAGCTTAATATAAGATGATTGAATTTTGGCTTTTTGTTTCTTTGCTTCTGCCAAATACAGAATATTTATATGAATAGCATTTGCTTACTAGTGAGCAGATCAATTTGATTTTTTAAAAGCAAATGTATATTTCATTACTGTTTTACTTAGCATTAAAATAATTCAGCATATACATAATGAGTAACTGAGGAGAGAGAAAATTATTCTTGAACTTACCCATCCTGCAGACTAAACACAGTTTCTGTTAAAGTCCACTGAAATGCAAACTGTGGGTTTGCTTTTTTCATCATCAAAAGTAAGTAACCCCAGTGGCATCAGCATTCCTAGACTCTCAGGAAAGGCTCCTTAAACTTGCACTTTGGGGTAAATAAAGGTCAGACCTTTCTAAGGATGGGAAATGTAATAGCCATCCAGTAAACATTACCTCACTCAGAAAGGCAAATGGGGCTGGTGAGACAGTAGGAAAGAGAGGAGAGGAGTGAGGAGGAGAAAGCTGAGGTCAAATGGGTCAAGGTGTAAAGTAAGAATCCTGCAGTGACTTTGGGATGTTTAATCCCTGTTGCTGCAGTTGCTTCCTCTTTTCTTTCATTTACTCAAAAAGTTTGTTGTTTTTTAAGCACAAGTTGTTCAGAACACTTGGCAGCATTAAATCTGCAGTCTTTGCTTTCTTCTCCTGCTATCTTTTTTTTTTCCTTTGGATAAATAAGACCAAAAGGTGCCTCTATTTTTATAGATTCATACACTGATCAAATGTTAGAACTGAAAGAAGCTTAGGGAACATCTAATTCTGACCCAGCCATGTGTTATAGACAAGGGGACTGGCCCATGGTTCCCACTGTTGTTTGGGGGCCACAAGGGGGCTAGGTTGGGCCTTCAGACTCTGAATTTATTTTATGGGCTCATAAGGTAAGAGGCTTTGAAGGTGAAAAAAATCCAGGGAGATTAGGGAATCTTAAGTGACAGTGGAGGAGTAGGTGAGAGACCTCAGCTAGTATAGAGACAGATACACAAAATTCCTTGGTATAGCCTTTCATCTTCATATCATTCCTTATTCTGCGCCTGCCTCTCAGTACTTCTTGCAAAGTCCTTAAGGACAGGATGCTGCATAGCTAAATCTAGGGTACCCTAAACTCATATGATACATTTCCTGCCGGGGATCTTGTTCCAGCATCGATAAGGGTTCAGGAAATCTGGAGAAGGCTGTGCGTAGATTAAATAGGAGTCCAGAGAAGAAATATAATTTTGAAAGGCATTTGGGGGCCAGAGGAGTTTAGCTTAAAAGAAACTAAGATCTAAGTCCTAAATTCTCTGGTCTAAGGTCTAAGGTCCCCTCATCGCAGGACCCCTTGCTTTTTATTAACACAACTTGTCCTGAGGTGAGGCAGAGATAAACACTTCAAAGGGTATACACAAACATTGTCAGAATGGGGGAATTAGCCTATGGCTGTTTATGTGTTTGGCCAGTAGGAGGCAATAATATGTAGATTTAGATGCCTTTTAGTTGTCTGGCAGCAAACAATCCATTTAATGTATCCTATTCAGGTTTGGGGAAATGCCCTTGCCACTACAGATGATTCAGCCCTGCTGAAAATGCTGGAATTGGTTTCTGGCAATTTCCTCCCAAGCACATGCTAAGATAGGACATTAGGGCTTGGGCTAGTAATGACGAAAGAATAGCCAGTGGCAGGAGGGTAGCCAGCTGTCCTGCCCATGGCATGCTTCTACCTGGCCTATCTCCCATCACCACTGTCAGGCTTCTCTATGGTTTAAATCCCCATCAGAGCCCTAATTCTACCTGTGACCCAAACACAGAATCTATACCTCATACGCTACCTGGCTTTGCCAAGTAAGTGTTTACAAATTAATGACCTATGAAGAATGTTTGCTCTTTCATCAACACTGCTAAATAAAATAAAACAAAATGGATTTGCCCCTTTATCAAAACCTGCCTTATTCTCTTTGCTAGTCTCCTTCTTGAAATGCAAATGAAATTATTATCTTAAGTAGAGTGTACAACATGCCTACAGCTTAAACATTTATTCCAAGGTCGCACACCTAAGAAGTTTCATCTCACTGACCTTGACTGTGCATTTTTGTTGAAATCAGAGGATTTGCTGGAATGACTACAGGCTTCCAAGAGGATGCTTGTTTTAACTTCTAGAATCCAGAGGCTGCAGCCATACACAGAACAAGTCAGATCTTCCATATACTCTAGGATAAACTGGATCAAAATAACACATGGACCTTTCCTGGAGCTGCCTCTCGCCAGCCTGACCAGCTCATTTTTAGGGCGGTGGGCCCATTGGACACCTCAAAGACTATCTAATGAGCCATGGTTCAGTCCTGGCCAAATAAAGGGATTTTTCTAAGGAATGAAACAAATTGGTCACAGCTTCCAGAGTCTGCACAGCCTGTCACCTCTGAGGAGTGGCTGCTAGGGCTGCTCTTCCTCCATTGGAGACACTCCGGGACGTTTGAAGCCTTTCTGCCTGTTGCCTAGCAACTCCTGCAGCATTGATTATGCATGCTAAGGAATAGCAGCTATTGTCCTTTTTCCTTCTCTAGAAGGAGCTGTCTGATTTGAAATGTAAGACTTTGCATTCAGACTGACAGATGTCAGGGTCCTAGAAATTCTGGTGTCGCTTGCTCCAAATGACTTAAGAGCTCGAGGGGTCCCAGGAACCAGTGTAAGATGGAAGGAATCCTGAGGCATGTGCAGGCCACTCAAGGGCACATGAGGCTGAGCTTGCCTCTACCATTGCTTGTTCAGATTCAACTGGATTGCCCTTTTCTTGATATTTTTGGATGACCTTTGTGGGGTTTTTTTTAATGAAATGGATTTATCAGCCATTTATCCTTTTACACTGAATTATAATTGAAGAACCCATAGAGGATAAGGAGCAGAGAAACCAGTCTATGATCAAAATGAGTTACTTTGCCTTTAAATACCTCAATTGCCAAGAAAACACTTCACTGTAGTTTCTCTACATTGAATGCATTAACTATGTTAGCTCTATCCAACCTCCATTTCAATAGCTACAATTCCTACAATGTTTTTTATATTATGAATTCATGCTGATTTTTTGTTTTTTAAATATAGCCATAAGTGTTGATGGATTGATGACCTCTTCTCACCCTCTCCACAACTCAGGTGTATTTCTAGAAACATCAAATGCCTAATATGAGAGAGACCTTAGAAATCATGCATATAACCATAGTCTCCTGTTCAATAAATGAAAAAAACAAGAACCAGGGATGTCAAGTTAAAGTGAAAGAGAGAAAAAAAAATGCTTTTTATGTTTCTGAATATCTTCTTGTCAATGCAGGGAATAATGATGATTATCTTCACCAAGGGTTTTGGAAGAGTTGATGGGTAAACCCTCTGGCACATTACCACGAGACAGCCACAAGTACCATCTGCTTGTTGCTGCCGTTCTATGTCTAGAGGGTCCAAACCAGGCCCTTGGTCTACATGACTCCCACTAATCCATCAGCTCTCAGTTCAAGGTGCTGCTCTAGGGGAGACTTCCCCTCGCCTATTCCCCCATTAAGGCCATACCTCCCTATTATATGCTATTAAGGCATCTATACTCGTCCTTTATAGCATTTGTCAAAGTTATTCATTATATATGTATTCATGGGTTCATTTAATCAATGGCATGAATGTCTGTCTCTTCCACTAGAGTGGTATATTCTTGAGTGTTGGAACCATGTCTTTTAGCATATGGCCTAATTTGTAGTAACATGCAGTAAATGCTCGTTAAATAAATGAAGAGATGGATGGATGGATGGATGGACGGATAGACTACAGAAAAAGTAAAGAGTTGGCAGTTGACATTTCTAGGTAAGGAAATGATTTGAAGAGCTATTGATAGTTATGGAGATTTATAACTGGGAGGAACAGTAAAGAGGACCTGTATAGAATAATGTAATCTAATTAAGAATCATTTTAGAAAACATTGAATACAGATACATAGAACTGTTATTGATATTATTTAGCTTAACTCCCATATTGTGCCAATGAGAAAACAGGAACCTAGAGAAGATAAATGACCCACCCAAAGTCACACAGCTTGGATGAGGTCATTTAATGTCAGGCCTAGGACTAAAACTCAGGCCTCACTTTAGTGCCCATTGTGCACCACACTTTT